TCATTCTCAGATGAATAATGAAGTCCTGAGAATTATATAATTTTTGTCAAAGTTGCAGAGGGATTAGTGGTGGACCCGATGAACAGAGGCCAAGTCTTCAGGTTGTTAGTCCCCTATTCTTTCAATTATACCACTTGGCCACAGTGATTAAAACAGAATGGAATAAATATGGCAGGTGTGGGAAAGAGATTACAGAACTTAAGGAACAAAACAAATAAATATATAAAACTACTACAGGAGAGAGGTCAGGTTTTAAGAGCTGCACATCACCAATGCTTGACTTAGCATCAGGCAAGTAGTGAATGCTCCACATACATTTCTTATCTCAAATGAGATAAGACAGGAAAAGGTGCTCCCATTTTAAGAGATTGAAGCTCTCCAGCAAAGCATAAAGCTCTGGCAGTGTGACAGATCTTCTAAACACAATTTTCAATTAATGTTAAATACAGTGCTGGCATATGGAGAATATGCTAAATCCTTTGTATTCAAAGTTTTAGCAGCAGAAATCATTCAGAAATAAACCCAAATTTTAGATACACTCAATTTTGATGTAATTATGTGTTAGACACAATGCTAATAATTCCCTTCTAAACAGCTGTCAGTCTGACTTAAATTACAATTTCCTTCCAAGGATAGCATAAAGTTGTTGTACTCTAGTTAAAAATGAAAGAGTAGAAGTTTCTTCAGATCTTGAGATGTTAAATCTAATATATTTACATAATTATAAAGAACAATGATTTAAAATTTTACAGTATCTGACACATACAAGATTATAAGAAGCAGCAATTTTACTATTAGAGATATCTCTAATTGATAATTTCAACAGTTCAAATAAATTTGTTCTATGGCTTCCAACAATACTACGTGAAACTCATGTTGTGAATATACTTTTAATCAAATAATCCACATTAGTGAATCATAAGCACAGTAATTGTATGGTAAGTCCATCTCAAATTATAGTAATTAACTGTAGTAAAAAAGCTTTAGAAGAACAGTTAATACACAAGAGAATGGTTAAATAAGCTAGAAAATATCGACACAATGGGTAAAATTGGTGTTTTCTAAGAATATTTAATAATGTGGGAATTTATTTTTATTTTTATTTGGTACCAGAGATCAAACTCGGGACCTTGTGCTTGTGAAGCAAGCAGCAGAAGCACTGAGCTAAGTCCCTGGCCCAATAATGTGGGAATTTAAATAGTAGTATCCCATCTCATTCTTCAAAGAATTTTTCAGGCCTTACAAAATAGGTGGTAAGTTGGCCATGGTGGCACACACCTATAATCCCAGCACTGTGTAGGCTGAGACAGGAGGATTGTCATGAGTTCTTTTTCCTCTGTTGTAAATGATCTCTTATGAGTTCTAGTCCCAATTCTCTAAGAAAATGTCTTTGTGATACTTTGCACTTGTTATTTTCTTTGTAAACTATCAAACTATACCACACATATTTAGGATGGAGTAAGACACAACCATTGGCCAATGCTTTGTGTTTTGCATGACATCAAAGTTGCTGAATAACTCATCAACAACATCTACTCAACCTTTGGTTTTATTGTAGAAAGTTTCTATTTCAGGCTTCCGTTTTGTCAAGGTTTCCTTGTCAGTATTTCCATCATGGTGCAATGCTGACATCAGCAATACCAGTTTGTTTTTCTTTGCCATATACCAGGCCAATATACATCTTTCTGAAATCCAAAGACTGTGTTATACAATTCTGTTCTGAAATTGGAACATTTCATTTGGAATTTCTGCTTTGTTCCTGCACTGGTCAATTTGTGTTCTGTTAGCACATAGAACATCAACTAGAAATTGGTAAGCCAAATGTCAAATATCACTTTTTGATTAGTTTGGGAGATGGGAACAAGAAGTCTGTTCATAATATCATTCAGTTTATTACTATACAAACAAGAACCCAATGGCTGAGTTTCAGGATAAATGTCTAAATTGAAAGCATAAGTCTCTGCATCTGCATGGGTATAAATTTGTATGCCATATTTTATCCATCACTTTTCCATAAGTCTTTTATATTCCTGCAATTACCATGAGAAATCCCTGCTAAGGGCAGCAGACCTATGAATGCTTTTCAGCTAGTGAATTATAAATATATTTTTTAATATGGCTATTGGTCCATATAAAATGTTTTACTTGCATTTCAGCCCTTGTGTATTTCACAGCATCTTGTGGCATTTCTACTGTTACAATTTCCAACACTGAAGGGCAGTGCTGGTATTCTATCCAATACATCGGATCCTTTCTTTGATTATGTGGCCATTTCATAACATTTCCACTAGTCAAATAAGTGCTCTTTGTTATTTTCTTTGTCATCTTAATCAAGGAGGTCTGCATTCTCTGAGTCTGTATCAGTTGATTCTTGTTCCATTTCACTGTCACAGGACTTTGGCTCACATGGCCAATGTCAAAGTCATCATTATCATCATACATCCACACCAATCTTTTGCTATAAAAACATGTTATTTTACCATAATGAATCATCTTCATCATCCATGCTTGACTTATCTGATTCACTTTTGACCTTCTCCAAAATGTGCAAATCTGGTTTTCCATGTGCCACGGGGTACTGAATTGGGCTACTTCTCCCGGAAATATCAAAAGAAAACTTTTTTTAAACAAATCCTGGAGTGGTGTGGGGCTCTTGGACCCTCTGTGATGCTCAGGTAAACATACACAAAACCAGTTAGATGGAGCATAATGTGGTTATAAATCTGTTTTTGCCATTTTTGCATACATGCACACACCTTGCTGTTTGTCATACCAAGTGGGTAAACACATAGATCACTTCCTGTATCCCTCAGGGAAATGTACTGAGACACACAGCTAGCTACTACTATGCTGAAGTACAAATTTACAGTAGAAAAGTAAAGGATGGGTCCGCTAGTCCCAGTGTCATGCTTAATGAGATATTTTCTTTTCTCAGTGAGTTACTTATTAAGAGTACAGGAATTTAAATGGATTAAAGATCTAAATATTAAAACAGAAACATTAAACTTGCTGGAAGGTAAGTTAGGCAGAACTCTGGAAGACATTGTAGAATCAACAACTGGGATCTCATCTTACTAAAAAGCTTCTGTACTTCAAAAGAAACCATCAGCAGAACTAAGAGACAATCTACAATGTGGGAAAAAATTTTTACCAGCCGTTCCTCAGACAAAGGACTATTATCAAGGATATATAAAGAACTCAAAAGAATCAGTCCCCCAAATATAAAGACATGATTCAAAAATGCGCATCCGAAATGAACAGACATTTCTCAGACAAAGAAGTAAAAGCAGCAAGAAAATATTTGAAAAAATGTTCCACATCACTGGTCATTCGAGAGATGCAGATGAAAACAACACTGAGATTCCACCTCACCCCACAAAGAATGGCTGCTATCAAGAAATCACACAATAACAAATGTTGGCGGGGTTGTGGGGAGAAAGGAACCCTGCTCCATTGTTGGTGGGAGGGCAGACTGGTGCAACCACTATGGAAATCAATATGGAGATACCTCAAAGAGCTTGGACTGGAGGTTCCATTTGACCCAGCCATCCCTCTGCTGGGTATCTTTCCAAGAGAACTAAAAGAATCAAATCACAGAGAAGTATGTGCACCCATGTTTATAGCGGCATGGTTTGTAATAGCTAAATCTTGGAAACAGCCCATTTGCCCATTTGTTGGAAACTGGATAAAGAAGATCTGGTTTTTCTATAAAATAGAATATTACTCAGCCATAAAGAACGAGAAAATAGATTCATTCATAGGAAAATGGATACATAATGAAGATATACTCCTAAGTGAAATAAATAAGTCACACATGTGTAAATACCGAATAGTTTCCCTGGTGTGAATAATCTGCAACAATGCATAAGATTCTAATAAGATTACTGACATTTAGAAATGGGAAGAAAGGAGCTAAAGGTGTAGGGAAGGTGGGATGGGTAGGGGAAGAGTAAAAAGGGAAAAGAAAAAAATGTGAGAGAATGAAAAGATGAAAATAAAGTGTTTGTAGATGGGGAGGGGAGGAGGGGGTGAAGGGAGGGCAGAGGTAAGGGGAAAAAATGAGAATCAAGACTTGTCATGTAGAGGTACAAGATCCCAACAATGAATGTAACTGTACTGTATCCCTAAAATGTACCAATAAATTCAATTAAAGCTGAAAAAAAACAAAAAAAAGAAGAGTACAGGAATTTTATTCATCTTTACGTGTTTACTTTATATCCCTCTACATTTCTGAATTTAGTTATTAATCTAAGAGTGTTTTGGTGGAAATTTTTGGGGTGTTATAAGTAGAAGATCACGTCATCTACAAATAATACTTTGACTTTGTCCTTTCGTATACACACACACACACACACACACACACACACACACACACACCCCTTTTCTTTCTCTTGCCTGATTGCTCTAGGTAATGTTTCAAGAACCATGTTGAACAGGAGCAGTGAAAATGGACATTCTTATCTTGTTCTTGATTTTAGAAGGAAATTAACCTGTAAACTTATAAGGCATTATCCATCACATCAAGCTCTCCCTTAGAACATATTCTACCATGCTGGTGCCTAATTCATAGGTCACAATGGTGAAAACAGAAGGCAGAAATAAATAATAGAGAATAATACAGTTTGTAAGATAATGCCTCCCACAATAAGCACACATATGGGAGCCAGGGATTTAGCTCAGTGGTACTGCTGTCTGCTTTGCAAGCACAAGGACCTGAGTTCAACCCCTGGTACCGAGAAAAACAAATAAATAAATAAAAAGTAAGCACACATACAAGTAATACCTATAGATAGCCACATATTGTTTTTGTTTGAAGAAATACTAGTAATTCACACATTTTTAAACAGATATATGTAATTGGTGAGTTTTATTTCTCAGCATTATTTCAATTAAAGAAACAGAGAAAGGGAGAAGAATGATTTGGAAGAAAAGAAAATAGGTTTTACTTTTCTATCTAAAGTAATTATGGCATGAAAGAAGAAATCACTAAATGCTCTTACCCATCCCAGAGTCTTTCTTCGTGCCATCTGATATTATGTCTACATGATCAGAGTCCACATCATAACTAAAGAAATCATTCAAATAGGTTTTTGATCTCTGGCCACCAAATACATATAAGCAACGATTTTTCTAAAAGAGAAGGACAAAGAAGAAAGTCATAAGTTCCATGGAGAATTTAGAATGACCCTTTTAAACCTTTACAAAACTACTTTCCTAGGAGCTGGGGATTTAGCTCAGTGGTTCCAGCACCTGCCTTGCAAGCACAAGGACCAGAGTTCAATCCCCAGTACCCTCCCCCAAAAAAGTACTTTCCCAATAGACCCCACGCAATGGAGCACTATGCTAGAATAAAGAGGAACAAGGAAGCTCTTTAATACTGCTGACAGGATCTAATGGATCTCCAGGATATCCTGTTAAAGTTCAAAAGCAAGGTGCAGAAAAATGTACAAAAGGTTGCTGTATCTGTGTAAGAAAAAAATATCTGTGAGAGGAGAAAGAGGGGGAGGAGGAGGGAGTACATTTCCTTCTTTTTTAAAAAGAAAAATGATACACCAAAATCTAATAAAAGATAGGGAAAGGGAAGGCATGGAGCTCCTTTTAACCCTTGTCCAGAAAACAAGGATAATAAGCAGGTATCTCCAAAAGTATCTCGACTTACAATTTTGACATTAGTAAGAATCAAGATAAATCATGTAAAAGTACAAGATCCCACTGTTAAATATAATTGTATTGTTTGCTTTAAATGTACCAATTAACTTAATGGAAAAAAAACCCAAATATAATGCTTTTAATTATGAAACAAAACTAATTTTAAATAAATTGCAAATTTGAAAAAAACAAAAGTGAAAAATATAAAGATATGACCACCCCAAAACATGACCATAAGACATATCTATAGTGATTTTTAAATCAGTTTTTTGACTTTCCATTCACAATGGGCTAAATCCTAAACAGAAAAATAATCAGTAATCAATCTTATATACTCTATGACTCTTTTAGTTACCTCTGTTGTTTTGCAAACTACTACAGATAGAGCAAGGGATAAAATACTATTGTATAAAGTGAGGTTTTAACCACAAAAGATCCACAAGTACAAAAAGTCATAAATTTTTAAAAGCTGTATTTATCATGATATAATTTTTCTATTACTAAAAAAGATATGTCCACATAAGAGCAGGGTTCCTACTGGCCAAAGGCAAAGAAAAACTGAGCATTAAAAAAAGAATAATGACAGCACTGGATTTAAAACTACTAAATGCATAAAAATCCATGAGTTCATAATTATATTATTTTTTTGAAAAAAATTCATTGGTTAGCTTTGGAGCCTTAGCTAATAAACCGGAAAATCAATAAAAGTAAAGAGCCAGAAATTCACTTTGCCTATTCTAAATAGTTTATATTTCAGAGTAACCAAATAATGAAGTATTTCTTTTTTTTTTTCCATGTGTGGTTTTATTTGGGGGGAATAACTAATATAATCACAGTTAATAAATGCAGAAGAAACTACATCACTAGAAAAATCACAACTGAGAATCCAGACAATGAATATTAAACTCAAAGACTGCTGAAACTATTAGATAAAAGATTATAAGAAACTTCGTAATTAATCATTCAGACTGATAACATCTGAACTCTTTAACATCATCAAAAGCATGACAACTAGACATTAAATGCTTTTATATCACAGTCAGAATGCTTAGTGAGTATTGCATGTTCCTTCTTAATTCTTTGTATTTAACGGAGTGAAAAATAACATATAAAAAACTGTTCTAATTCTAAGTTGTAAGAAAGGGAAATAGCTACACTACCTAGAAAGGCAGTAAAGTTAATCATAAAATTATCTAATTTAGAATTCAGGTGATAACTACTTAAAAGTTATTAGACTGATGGTAAAAACCTCAAACTGAGCAAATGGTTCACTGTTTAAAGATGTTTTCTCTGTCACTGCTATACTAATCATTTATTTCTAATAAAAAGCTTTGATTTGTTGCTGAAGATATCCATTTCAACATTCTTTTCCCTACGAAGATATACAAGACAAAATAACATAATGCAATGCATAAAATATTCTTACTGAGTGGAATAACATGCAGTGTCCTATCCGAGATTGGATATCTTCAGGCCCAGCATTACAGGAATCCTCTCGAAGAAGTTTCCAGGTTTGACATTGACAGTTGAAAGCAAACAACCCACTGAATTGTGGTTCACTGGCTCTGCTGTCATCTACGCTGCCATTACATGTCAAAATTCTACCACCAAAGGTGTAGATCATATGTTTTTCTGAATCCATACACATCTATCAGAAAAAGCAACAAATTGAATACTTTTAATTTGCTTCTGTCATGTGTGATAAACGAAACCAATGTGTTATATTCTTTAAAAAAAAAAAAGAACTTTGTCATTTAGGACACTAAATATCAATTCCCCATTATCAAATGAAAATGCTGTAAGCTGTTTACTCCCTGGCACAGATTCAGGATAAATTTCTAAATACTTTTCTGATTTCCACTTAACCTAATGAGACTGAAACATGTTGGGTTAAAGAACTTTCTCCTTTCTTGAAACTGCATAATTACCAAAATTAAGCAAGGATACACGATGTATTGAAATATATCTGAGTTAATACTGATCATACATAGTAATGACAAGCTTCTCATCCTTATGAAAACATCCTTTTTACTGTTCTAGACAAGCATTCCATTACTTTTCTACTTAATATAAAAGCAGGTATGCAAATAAGAGTGACAGCTAAATTCATTTTGGGGATTACTTTACAATTCTCTTCAAATTATAATGTTACAAAATAGAAAAACAAAGACATCTGCAACAGTTTCTAGAGTGGCTCATCTAGTTGAAAAATTTGGTTTCCTTTAACTCAATACCATAAATTTACTTTGCTTTGGATTAAGCTATGCAATTCACATTCAAAAGCTAGCCTGATTCGTCTATACTTTCAACTCAAGCAAATTACTACTTTTCATAAAAATATGTGATAAAGCAGCCATCTGTTACAAGGCAGTAAAACTCAAATTTTTTTTCAAAGAATAAGTCTAAGAGGAAATTAGACGTTAAACAAAAATAACATTTATACACACACACACACACACACACACATATGTACACACACATATATGTATACATATTGTTTTTTTGTGTGTGTTTTTGGTACCGGAGATTAAACTTGGGACTTTGCACTAGCGAGACAAGAGGCAGTACCACTGAGCTAAATCCTTGGCCCAATAATATTTACATTTAAAGAATAAAATGTGTACACAAAACATGTATTGGTTAATAATTTTTCCACTAAAACACAAATACTGGCTGTATATGTTCAAGTCTTTCTTCCCATGAAATTACATACATTTGTCTATTATTGTATTTTTAATAAAAAGTTGTTTTTAATAATATTAGAAGTTGTTTTAAAAAAGTATTATAAAAGATTCTTGCATCTCCTAATTTTTACCTCCAAAACAATCCATACTTTCTTTGTCATTTCCTAGGTTTTTTAAAACACGTCTACAAATTAAGATGAAAATTTATTACTTCCTCAAGTGTACAGTCTTGGTGAATATGGCTGAAAAACTAAGACATCAAAGTCTTCATGTTCCTGGCATTCCACAGATGCTGTTCAAATTTTTACTCTTAAAAGGCCATATTATTAAAAACAACCCACACATTGCTCAAGATAACCCAGCATGGCTCCACTCAGCTACTGTACCTCTCTTTAGGGAACCACTGAAGCTGGGTTAGTGGACTATCCTGTCTTAAGTATTTAAGGCTCAAATCTCTCAAAAATACCTGGTGAGCATGTAGAAAATCCTGAGGGTTCTATATTAAGTGAATCTATTTCCATTTTCACAAAGTCACAGTTCATACTAATGACCAATATTCTATAGCCCTATGGTTCTACTTCATATGGCTACAAAGGAAGTATCTTCTCTCCTTTTGGAGATATTTAAATTTAACTGCTTATTCTCATTTGTTAAAGAAATATCTTTACCATGGTAGCTCTTGCTAGCACAGCATTTCAAGAAAGGAGTTAACATGAGTAACACTGTATTAGCATGGTAATTCTTTCCCATATCTTGACAAACAGGAAACAAAACAGAAATAATTTTATTCCTTCAACTACTTACATAGGTAAGATATATGGCTTCCCTTGATAAGATATATAGTTTCAAGAGAGGCATTTATCAAATGACAATACATTTAAATCAATCTAGGAAACATTATGGTATTCATCAGCATGGTGATGCTGATGATCATCATTCATCTTCATTTTTCCTCTCTACTTGGTTTTTAAATTTGTTTTAACGTTTTGATCTCTGAAAAATGTTTCAGAAAAGCTAATGACCAATTCTGTGTGATCTTTTCCAAGAAAGACTTTGATAAGTCTTTTGAGCCAAAAGCTAGACCACTATTCATTATTTCTCTCAACTTACATGTTTAATTTCTAACAACACAATGAAAAGCAGATAATAATTTGCTTTTCTGGAAAAAAAATTTATTTTAAATCTAAAAATGACTATTTTACCCTATCACAGGGTAATATAAGATTGGCAAGATCTGGGCTGGGTTCAAAATAACTTCCTCCTTAAAAATTTGAGGTTTTGCGAAAGCTTTCTATGTATCCACTGTTGTCCAATCTACCACCTTTCCTTTTCCCAACCACACTGCTTACCTACAAAGGTAACCCAGTTTTTTTCTTTGTGGTTGTTTGCAGGATTTTCTCTTAATCCTTGGTTCTGAAATTTCATTAAGGAACTATCTAGATAGGAATGACTTTTTTCCTTCTTTCATACTGATCTGCAGCTGGTAATTCTTTTCATTCTGAAAATTCTTTATCAGCTCCAGAAATATTCTTCATTTTTTTCCTTGGATATTTTACCTCTATTCTGGAACTTCTATGAGGTAGATATTGGAACTTCAAGGCCTCTTCTGAATCTTGTGTTTTCTTTCACAATTTTACCTCATTAATTTACTAATTTAGACATATGTCTGTTCTTCTTTTTCATCAATTTATGAGATTTCTATTTCACTGTTTGATTTTTATAATTTTTAGATATTTCTTTTTCATGGATGCAATAGTCTTCAGGACTACCTAAAACAACATATTCTTCAATTTACTATTTTACTTGAATTCATTACTTTCAAATAATTGCACTGTTTTTTGTCTAGTCTTCTTTGTATCTGAAAGAAACTATTGTGGTTGATTGGTTGTTTTCACTTGGGAAGCTGGTTAAGAGCTTAACTAAAAGTTCCACAACCTAGCGGCTGGAAAACCCACTCTAGGGCAGCTCCTTGACTGGATGGTATAAAGGGGAAATGAGGAAGCAAGGATCTGCTTCTGTTCCTTGGGAGGAGCTCTCATCTTCACCTTGGATGGCACTTCCCAGCTTCCAGCACAGACTCTTTGGCTTCTGGTGTGGTTCCTTCAGCCTTCTGGCACATACTGTTCAGCCTTTCATCACAGGCCCATCAGCATGCTGATATTGACACACAGGACACTGCAATGAGCTCTGGACCTTTAACTAAATCCTTTGGTCTCCAGTGTGAAGACAGACCCTCTGGAATCTTCCTCATCAGACTCTGTGGGTGTTCACTGTAAGTGAATCTTATAAATTCATATATATTTGTATATCTTGTGTTATATCTATTTCTCTAGTAAATACTGACTGATACACTTGTTCATATGCCTACTGCATATACTGTGAAAAGTTTGAAGATCTGGACAGAAAGACCAGAGACAGGATGCTAGAAAAGCTCTACAGTAGCTTTCCAGTGCCTTTGGTTCTATCTTTCTAGCCACAATATCCTCACTTCATATTTTACCGTAGACAATTATCACTGCTAAGTGATATGGTGGAGAATGCCCTACTATTTAGTCACCAACTGACCATTTAATATTTATCCCAACTATATACACTCTGACACTCAAGTTATTTCTCAACCTTTGCTAGTCTCTGGTTTCTTCTAGTTGGGTCTGATCCTTTCTGTTTTCTGCCTTTCAGGAAAATTCTCATGAATTTCTGAAATTGTCTGAGTACAGTGCTTTTCAACACAATTGCTAATGTATTCTTTTGTCATTTCAGATGATGTTGAGAAGGATAGCAAATGCTAAGAATCCAATTTGGCCCAGGAATAATTTCAATGAGCTGAGATCTTCAATCCTTTAAAGTTTTTCCTGCTACTTCTTCACTAGCTCATATTCCATTTTCTAGTAATTTCCTCATAGTATTTAAATTTGAAGGACAGTTTTCTAAAGAAGGTAACAGCAGCTTGATGCTCAAGTTTTCCATGTTGTTTTGTGTGATATCTGGGATAGTTTTAATGTTAAAATTCTAAATGAAGAAATACCCTTTAAACAGGTCTTCATGCCTCTAATGTTATCAAGTTTTTCTCAAGTTTCAACATAAAGTCCTTAATCCTAAAGCATCACAAACACCACAAATAAGTTTTTGAAGTGCCCTGAACACAAGTTAGTAAGCTATAACTTATATCACTATTTGCATGAAATTAAACGTGAAACAAGAGTCTTATAAAGATTATGCAACTGGCTGAGCAACACAGCTAGTTGTTAGCTGAAGCTGCACTAAAATCTTGGATTCTTTGTGCCCAGTGTACTGGAGTACCATCTAATCAGGTGAAAATCAAGCATTATTTAACGCAACTCAGCTTTCAACAAATATCCTGGGCCGGGGATTTAGCTCAGCGGTTTGGTGGCCTGCCTTGCAAGCGCAAGGACCCGAGTTCAATCCCCGGTACCAAAAAAAAAAAAAAAGAAAGAAAGAAAGAAATATCCTATTTTATCAGATTTAAGAGAGACAAAGGCTAAACACAAGAACTCTGTATGTGCGGTGTAGTCAGACTACCCCCTAAGAATATTTTTTCAGCCAATAAACAGAGACATCAGCATCTTTTGTGAAAAAAATATGTAACAATTTGGGTTCAAGAGAATAAATTGCTTCCTAACAATGTTATGTGCTAATGTTCTGTTTTTAAAAGATCAGAATCAGCCTGAATTCTTGGAGTTTTTATTTCCTACATGAACACTGAGGATATCAGTAAGCATGTGTATAGCATGGCAGAGCTCAGTTATATAAACGAGCCAACAGAAATTCCAAATTCAATCTGGGGAGTACTTTGAAGACTAATGTTTTTGATTTTCCACCCACCACTTACTTGATGAGCATAAGTCAGGCCTCTTTCCTTACCATTCTCTTGTAAAAATTACTCTGTAAAAACACAATAACGACTTGTGTAACCCCTACATATGATTTTAGACCTGAACTGAATTTCTGTCATAATTCGACTGCCATCTCCCATTTCCAAAGTATGAGATGATGCTATCATCAATGCAATATCAGAAATCTTTTAAAAAATCTTTTTTCCTTATACTCCAAAAACAATATTAAAAATGGGTAAGCCAATAAAACTGCCTATAAAATTCAAAGTGATTAATGTTTTATTTGATTTACCCTGAACTCATAGGAAGTATTCAAAGACAGATAATCATGATAATGATACTGATAGTAATTATGCTGGTGACAGCTTTCTGCATATTAGAATTAAAATGATTTGTAATACTACTATGCACAGTCTCCTTGTCTATAAATACCATTATATGATTTTTTGGTGCTGAGTTTAAATTACCTAATCTAGGTTCTGAGCAAGTTTCTGAATGTAAATTAAAGTAAATGTATTTTACATTATTGGAAAAAAGCTTGAGATTTCAAATTCTCATACTCACTAAAAAGAGATTTTAAATTTCTTCCATAAAAGAAAAAAAATGTTTTAAATTAAAAGGGCAAGTTGCTACTGTTAGGATTCATGAATGTTTACTGTAAAACTAAATTTGTTTTTCCTAATATTATTCCATCTACTCTTTTATTTATTTATTTATTTTTTTGGTACTGGGGATCAAACTTAGGACTTTGCATTTGTGAGGAAGACATGCTGCCACTGAGCTAAATCCTCAGCACCTACTCTCTGTAGTAATAAAAGATTTTATAAATAACAATTCTATTCTGACATCTTAGAGTTTAAGTTTTGACATCTACACCGAACGAGAAAAAAATTTAAATCTAATGAAAACAATTTTATATCTAGTGAAACAACTTTTTTAATGATGTCATAGGTTATTTGTGTATAGTCACTCGTAGACAACTCTGCATAACATAATAAGCTCTACAATCAAGAATTACTGAACACTAATTTCACCATATATTTAACTATACACCAAACCTGATGATCAAACACCAATTTTGGTCCTCCATCAGCAGCAGTATCTTCACTTAGTAACATCCATATGTTTGTATCAATGTCATAACGGTAGAAATCACTTTTCAGAGATTTACTGTTCCTCACAGAGGAATCCAAATAACGTCCCAATGTGTAGATTTGCCTTCGTTGAATGTCAATGCACATTTTATGACATGATCTGGCACTTGGACCATTCTGTGGAGAGAAAAACAGGATGGGGTAGAAGAACAAAGTAAAATTAAACAACCTCTTTTTGCCCAGAAACATAAAAAGTCAACTAATGTAAATCTAATATGAAGTTTAAATCTCCAAGAGAAAGAAAAAGAGCAGTAGAAGACCCAAATCTTACTCTTCAGTTGCTTAACATCAACCAGGAAAGATGAGGTGAGCTATTCTATACCCTCTGGTACTTGTTTAACATCTATACAGCTTCTATCATACACTGCATTGTATTTTGGTCATCTATGAACACAGTTCTCGTCACAACTATCTGACAATCTATGTTTGTCCTTTAAAATTAGTTTTGTATTTCTCACGAGATCATAGCACAAAACAGGTACTTCAAGAATATTTGAACCAGTCAATTTCAAACTTGGCAGAACCATTAATGAAATCTCTAATTTAATTCTCCCTTTTTAATGATGAAGAAACATAAGCCCAGAAAGGGAAAGTGTCATCCTGAAAGCCAATAAGCTAGTGACAGAAGCAGGGGAATCCAAGTAATTGACTTAGCTATCATTTACACTACATAAAACTATCGTGACCAAATAACACAACTACATTAAGTAACGAGGAGTACTAAGAATAGTATCGGGGGTAGGGAGGAGGAGAGGGAGGGGAGGGGGAGAGAGAGAGAGGACATCACTTGTATAACAGGACTAAACAAAAGGTTAAAAAAGTTGTACTATAGCAAGAACAGTTCATGAGGGGGAGCATTAACTGGGCAGGGTTTGAGGAGATAAAAAGTAGAAAGGAAACAAAATTAATGAATTAATACTTAATATTTCCTAAACTGTTTATATTATTGCTGTGTATGTATTTCATTTAATATTTAAACAATGCTATAAGGAAACATTATCACTATTTCAGCATCTATATAATTTGTCCACATTCACAAAACTAAGATAGCAAACTTAAGCCATAGTGTAGCCAGAGCCAAGAACTCTGCTCTTCTCACTATTTCAAATAATTTTTTTCAAAAGAGAAACAAAGCCAAAAATATACTTGTTAATACAGTGTATGTGGCTATGACTAAAAGGGGAATTCCTGCTGAAAAACTAATAGAATTGAAGTATAAAGTGGAAATAGGAAGTCTGATGGATAACTGCCAGAGACTGGATATAACCTGTATGAAATAAAGTATTACAGGAAAAGCAAAACAAAACAAAAAAAACAACAAAAAAAAACTATTATAGGTTCTTAGAGTAAGATATAAAAAAAGCAATAGTATTAACAGAATATAACAACAGTAGTGAATAAACTAAGGAATACAAGAACAACAGCTTGACAATTAGTATTATTAATCCAATACTAAGTTGCTTTGGATTTTAGTACTCATACAACTTTTAAAACTTATTCTTAAAGATTTGAAAGATTTCAGTAGATAAGGTGAAATTTTTATTTAAGAAAGAATTTCTTCCATGATTAAAAAACTCAAAAACAAAGATGGAGGGCTACAAATGTAGCTCAGTGGTAGAACACTTGCCTCACATGCACAAGACTTTGGGCTCAATCCACAGCATTACAAAAAACAACTTAAAATATGCAATAATATATAATAAATCTATAGCATATTTTCTACAGTATAAAGTTTGAAATTTTAATAGGATAGTAACAGAACAAAGAGTATTACTCTGTGCTTCAGGTAAATTAGTACAATTAAAATGATGAGCAAATTATATGCTAAGCAAGAAGAAAAGGAAAACGATAATAATAGAAATTAATACGATATAAAGGATTCAAAAACAAAATTAACAAGTTGGCTCTTAGGAATACTGACCACATTCTAAGCAAGACTATAACTTTTTATAAAGAGTATGAAAATACAAATTGCCTTCATCAGAAACAAAAGCAAAAGTAGCACTACAGACTCTCTAGAAATTAAAAAGAAAATACAGGTTTATTATGAAAACCAGGTAGAAGTTGACAATGTAGATAAAATAGACATAGTCCTTGAAAAACTACAAAGCAAAATGACTAGAGATTAAAGAAAAAAATACAATGTCTTTATATCTAATGAAAAACTGAATTCAGAGTTTAAAATCTTCCCATAAATAGATCTTGAGGCCTAATATAATATTGGCAAATTTCATCAAATATTAAAGATGAAGTTATACTACTTTCAGACAAAATGTTTCAGAAAACAGAGGAAGAATAAAAACCCCATGTAAAAAATCTGTATTCTAATCTATTCCTAACAATTTTATGAGGACAACGTTAACACTAAAGTCAAATGACGTTACAAAGAAGGAAGAAGAGATAAAGGAGGAGGATAAAGGGAAGGAAACAAATAATTTACAGATGACAAGTATTTCTTATGAACATATATAGAAAATTAACCTTTAACAAAAAATGCTACCAAATAGAATGTAGCAATATCATACATGAAAAGAAAATCTCATAACAAAAGGGGTTTATCTTAGGAATGTAAAGTTGCTTTTATATTTGAATATCAATGAGGGTAATTTACCACATTAATAGTATAAAGGAGAAAACATAACCCTCACCCTAAATAGTTTTTTTTGCGGGGGTACCTGGAGATCAAACTCAGGACTTTGCGCTGGCGAAGCAAGTGGTGGATGGAACCACTGAGCTAAATCCCCGGCCCCATAAATAGCTATTTTTAACAAAAATGTTATTTGTGTCAGCATAGGTTTACTACTATAATTTTAAATGATGAAGAAATTTTAAAATTCTTTTCATTTCTAATACAGGAGCTTTCAATAGATATAATCCAAATAAACTGAGAATACCAATGATTTTTTGCCTAAAAATGTAAAGGGATCTTGAGACCATAAAGTTAGAGAAGCACTAGTATAACTAAAATCCAGTAAAAAGAGCTATATCTAATTCCTATCTAATCAATAATTCATGAATGAAGTCAGAAATACTTAAAAAATATGAGATGATTTTTAAAAATATACTCTTTAATGAAAAGCTATAATCCAGCCTTTTCCAATATATCTCTTGCTATAAATTTTATTTTTATTAACAATCATAGCTTCTAGCCACATTTCTATAGTTGGCTTTAAAAAAGAATAGTGAAGAAAATGGATTGGAGCTAATACAAATCAGTTTAATAACCACTTACAAGAACAATATATTTGTTTCCACTCTATAAAAATTAAGAATATCTACATAAACATTTAAAATAATTTTCTCATTAATAGCTAATCTATTATTTTTCAGTCTTCTAAATGTTTTATGATACATACTAAGTAAATTAAATGATTAAGTTAATTCTGCTTTTTAATTGTGTTACGCTTTTAATATACATGCCCTACAGTAGCATCAAACAATAACTGGTACACAAAATTAGATATGCAAAACCGTAATCGTTCAATTTTATAAGCAATGAGCATTTAAGCCAGAGCCATACATTACCATTCAATTCACAGGTAGATCAACAAAGGTTTTTAGGTGTCTACATGAAGATAGTAGTAATAAACTATAATAAAGATGAGCTGTAGTACTGAGTCACACCATTTTACTTATCTCCATTAACTTCAAAATAACCAATTCTTCCCATCAAAACAATTCTATTTTTTTCAGCACTAGTTTTAAAATGACTACTAAGTATATTCTAAATGTTACCTATATCATGTATGATATAAAAAAATACCAGAACAGATATCTACCCATCATACAGCCTTAGAACATCTATTTTACCTTTGAAGTTCCCTGTAAACTTTCTATCCCAAAGGAGTGACTCCTGAATTGTATAGTATTTAATCACTTCATTGCTTTTCTCCAGCACAAACTCATCATGTATCTTAGCCTATTTACTATTTACTTACTCCAATCACTCAGAAGTAGGCACATGCGTTTTATCCTTAAAGTACATAAATTCTAAAGAGTATGATTCAGGCCTTTATTTGGAGTCTAGGTAGGCAAACAGGAATACAAACTAAGTATCATGGCCCATTCAAGAATTAAGAGGGGTGAAATAGGCAGATCACAGGAAGTTTTAAATTCTGCTTAGGGAAGGTAAGAAAGGCTTCTCAGTAGAAATGAATTTCAAATAATCAATAGGTATTCACTAGGTAAAAGCTAGGAGGAAGATCCTCTGTTAATCCCTATCATGGAAAAAACACTTCCAAGTGATACAGGTTAGAAAGTTTAATACTTCTAGTAACTCCAGTTAGTAAGCACATGAAGTCAGGACATAAAGCTGGAAAAATACTTGATGAGAAATCTCAAGATTTACTCTAGTAAAAGGAAGTGAGGGAGATAAACTGTTACTGCTGTTAGTCATATCTCCTTGTGTCTACACCTCATCACATGCTGACGCTGGCCTGCTTACATGATTTTTTGCTGAGACAGAACATATTGACAGATTGTTCATGTGTACTTCACCCTTCTTGCAGCTCTGACCCAACCACAAGAACAAGTCCCAGCTAGCCAACAGAAGGTAGCTACATAGAACAGAGCCAAGCAGTTCCAGCTGAAGCCACCCCAAACTAGCTGACAGACAGGTGACTCTCAGACAAGTGAGTGTACCCAGCCTACACCAAAAGTTTGGCCCAATCCATCTGTAGAGTCAGTCAGGAGCAATAAATGCTACTGCTATTTGCCACTGAAGTTCTGTGAGAGTTTATAAAGCAACAGATAAAATGTAATAGGTATCTGAAACCAAGACAAAAGATAACCACAGAGTTTAAGCTGGGGTGCCATGTAGCCAAATCTGTTTTTTAAAAACTTTGTTTATGAATGGAAAACAGATGTGGGGATCAAAAACAGTGACCAAAAAAGTTAAGAAATTAATAAATTTAGAATCAGCCCAAAAAGGAGTAGAGAGGAAAGAACATTCAAAGTACAATATTGGATGCTGGTGGAATTTTCACATAAATCAGATACATTCAATGAAGAATAGAGAATTTTTCTGGTAGTACATACTGGGCTGTATCCCCAGCCTATGTTTTATTTTGAGACTGGATCTCACTAAGCTGCTAAGTTGCCTAGGCAGACCTAGAACTTGAAATTCTCCTGCCTCAGCCTTGCCAGGGTGCTTGACTATAGGCCTACGCCACCGGGACTGACTGAGAGAATTTTAAAGATGAATCTTACACTTTTTGCCAAAATAATTACAAAATGACCAAACTGATTTAAGATAATTGAGAAGAAATGTTAAGGTAAAACATAATCACTTCAGAAAATGGTACTTCAATACTGACAAAGGCATGCCATTTTATACTTTTCCCAAGGTTAAAAAAAAGAAATAAAAAATTCAAGGTCTTTTGAAAAATAAGATCATCCAAATGATTAATCCTTAGATTACAATGAGTAAGCAAGAACCCAGTTGCTTAGAATTGAAGACACAGCACTAGACCTCTTTTTTTTTTTTTTTTTTGTGATACTGGGGATCAAACTCAGGACCTTGCGCTTGTGAGGCAAGTGCCAACACCACTGAGCTAAATCCCAGTCCCAGCCCAAGACCTTTTGAAATGACTTTTCTAAATGAAAACTATAGGGGCTTTAATTAGATATTTTCTGCTTCACTTTCACCCCTTTTTTTTTTCCTTTTTGAATAGGTTATTTTTTGATTCATAATCTGAAATACTTCGGATACAGAATGTAATTTTAAAATTCTATATAATTTCTGGAAAAAATGAATTAATATTCACTTTATCCCTGTATATAATCACATACTTTTTAATTCAAAGCCATAAACCAAAGCCTTCTTATGCAGAATGAAAATGTTTACATATACAGAATCCATCAAAAAAAGGTATACATCAGGAAAAGAAAAATTTGTATAAATATTTCAATACTAAATTTACTGAGACATTATGAAATTAATACAAGTTACCTTTGTGCTCTATGATTACAAGAGGTGTTCAAAGTGGTGGCCACTGGTTTCCAGACATTTATTAGTATGGCAAACTGCTGAAGTGTGTATACATCTTTTTGGCGGACTTTGCATGTGTATAGACATACAAATGTATATGTATATATAAGTTTAATTTTAAAATAAAATGTAGGAAATGCATTGTTAAGTAACCTCATTGTTTGAACATCATTGAACATATTTATGGCTATAATGGCACCAGACAATGTAATCTTACAGGACCCACTATCATGTATGTGACCCATAGTCAACTGAAATGCAGTTATGCAAGACACGCACAGATAGCAAACCAGTGAGGAGTCAAACAGTAAGATGGTAAGAGGTTAAGACATCAAAAACATGTTTTTCCAGAAGAAATAAAAATAAAGTGAATGCCAAAATCAAGAGCAGAAGTGACAGAGGTATAAGACAATATACAGTTACATTTCTGGGCTAAATTACTTTAAGTATCAAATGACATAAAAATACCCATTTATGAGGCTGGGGATTTGTTCAGTGGCACCACTGCCTGCCTTACAAGTGCAAGGTACCCAAGTTCAATCCCTGGTACCAAAAAAATTTAAAAAATAAAAAATACCCATTTTATCTTTATAAAATAGACTTGTTTGTACATCATTAGTTGGCAAACTAGGTATAGAAGCTGAAATCAAGGAGTACTTAAACTAACCTTGAAATCACAAATCTTTTCCTATAACAAATGACAAGAAATCAATCATGCATAAAAAGAAATGTACACCCATGCCCCTAATATAGGTATATGAAAAAGTCTTGGAACTTGCCTCTTTTTCAGTGTCTCTGGAGATACATGTCCACTGGTTCTCCTTCACACTGTATGCCCAGAAGTCAGCAAGATCCTGTGTTCCATCCCAGCCACCAAACAAATAAACAGTCTCTAAGAAAAACAGAAAAATAAATGTTTAAAGAAAAAAATTTTTAAGGATAAGTCTTGGCCAGATGTTTCAGAGATCATTTTAAAATGTACATCTCAATACATTTTAAAATGGGATTTTTATATTTTAACTTTCAAAATGTATACCAGCCTACTACTCCCTAAACATGAGTAGATGGAAAGACTGCTACAGGTCACTATTTTGACAGATGTGTGAGAGATTTGTTTAAAAACACAATCTCTAAACCATGTTCCCTAACATTCGATTCCACTGTTCTTCAGTGGGTAAAGAAATAATCTGAATTTTCAAAGTATTCCATATGAATCTGATGTGAAGCCCGTTTAGGAGTTTCTGTGGCAGGCTATAAAAAGCTTATATCAACCAGCTTCATAAAAACACCACTTTTCATACACTAAAGGTCTATGTTATTTGTTACTCAGACTTTAAAAACTAGAAATCCTAGAGGAATCTGAAGTATAGAAGTATAACATAAGAACATCTGGCATTTCTGAAAAAGCCACATTAAAAGTGGTTTCTCTCTAGTACATAACAAAAACAATGGTTAAAATTCATTTAAAGTTAAAGTTATATATCTTAATCATAAAGTAACTCATAATTCTGGTATTCCCAAGAAAACTGGGAGATTTTTTTCCCCCGATATATTGTGGTACCTTTAATTCTTCAGAAAGTTACCATTAAATCATTCTAGCCACTATGTCTTGAGAATTTGGTTTCTTCTAACTTTGAAATGTCTATTCCATATATAAACTTTATCATTGGGTAAAAATGATTTCTTGCTCAGTAAATAGTGAATGTTTATATATAACACTGTATCCTAGATCCTTTCTTATACAATAATGCTTTTCCTTTCTTCAAATATTCTGCTTTTTATAAATATCTACTGGTCACAGAAACCCATCAGCTTTTTTTTTTAAGTTAAGTAAAACACTACAAAGAAAAAGGAAAAGTCATTGAGGCTCCAACTGATATATCCTAAGGCTCTGTCGTTACATAAATAACTATGAAAAGTTACAACTCACAATGCACGTGGAAATACTGTACACTAAAAAACTTCTTGCCATTCATAGAGTTAGATTATCTTCTAAGAATTTCTGTCATACTTTCATATAATTTCAAACTCTCAATTTTTTAAATGAAATGCTCAATCTATCCCCAGATAATTTGGAGAAATCCAAACAATGCTTCTCTGCTCTCTAGATAAGAACACTCCATTGAAGCAGGACTGAGTTCTAGAACTAACTGGGTGATCAAGTACAGAATATTTAACCTCCTTTGGTCTTATTTTTTCATTTACAAAACTCTGAGTGTTGTTAGCTCTGAATTACATGGAAACATTCTAAAGCCTGTTGCACATGAACAACCTTTCTATCTTCAAAACATGCACTAAAATATAAAATAATTTTTAGTTTCTAAGTACCACAAATACAATAAAAAATGGCATTATTTTATTTGATTCTGGGTCTAATTCAGTACCTGAAGAACTTTTGGCACTGTATAAATATAAAACAATGGTAATTATTTTAAACTACTAAAAACTTATTAAATTTCTCAACTATGAAATAGTCCATTATCACTAGTTAAGTAACATTCTGTTTCACAAATGGCACACAGTGATGCCCAGACACTTGTAGTTTTACGGGAAAAAAAATTAAAGAAGTCTCATCTGAATTAAAAATTATTTGCCAAGGCCTTACTACAAAGGCAATTAACCCTGTTAAATTCTGAACCCTGAAGGAGGAGGGGGTATATAACTAAAATAGCAATTGCAATTGACCTTTTGTTTTATAGTGTTTCTGGGCACCTTCCAGATAAGGTTACTCTGGTTCATTAACTTTAATAACCCTTTCTCTTGGGCTCTGGGTTCTCAATGTTCTTTTTGAAAAACAGGTCTTTTTGTATGCAAAAATTCTCACAGCAAAGAAAACCCACATTTCCACAACAGCCTCATTGATAGCTGAGCAAAATAAAATCTGGCACAGAGTAAGCATCCCAATGGAATTAAGCCAAGATGTCATTCTTGTCCATGAAAGTTTTGTGGTCCAAGTTGAAGTTTAATAGTAAAATTAAATGAACTGGATGAAAACTGACCCTTTTGACATACCTGAATGAAAATGCATAGCAAAAGTTTTAGTTAAATCATCAAACCATTTAATAAAAAATAATTATATAGAAACAAAGACCAACAAAAGTATTATTTAATGCATAAAAGATAAAAGATGATGATGATGATGACCAAGCATTTACAATCTTGTCAAGAGTATAAAATAGGTATATAAATCACTGTAACACATGATAGACTAAGTACCATAACAAAGGTAAAAAAGTACCACAGCAGTTCAAAAGTGGAAGAGAGTATGTCTGGTTGAGGAAACTCAGGAAAGGTTTATACTGACGGTGGTATTTGCCCTACACATTACAAATTGGCTTTGTGTTCTGGTAGGCAGAATGGGAAAAGACGAGGAATTTCCAAGGAGAATGAAAAGAATAACAAGGATTCAGATACAGAAAAACATATTCGGAAATATTTTAAAAGACATTAACATCAAGTAGCTCTCAGCTACAGTCCTGGTTCTATTACCAAAGCTCTGTGACAACCAGCAAGCTCCTTAACCACTGGTTTCCTAATCTCTAAAATGTAATGTGGTATCTGAGAAGCTACTGTAAGAATTAAAGTATAACATGTCCTTCATTTAATATTAAATTTAATAATTTAATATTAAGTGGTTAAACTGTGCTGTGATGAATATATGCACTGTTTGATGTAAACTGGCCAGAGGTTAAATTAACAGAAAAGGTTAAACTACAAGAGCTTTGAACTTGACTCCACAGACAGTAGGGAAGCTACAGAAGAAGAGTTTAAGGAGGGAGATGTGTCACAAGGCAAGAGCTGAACTTGCAGCATACAGGGCTGGAAAGGAGGTGCCAGAGATCGAGAGATTGGACGTAATATGGTTAGTAATAGTCTGTGTTCAAAATGTCAAGCCAATTTCATTCTGAGACACTAAGTGAATGGATTCATCATTACTCAGGCCACAAATACTAAAATTCAACCATATTCTTTGGTATAGAATATGTACCAAATGGTACCAGTGCCAAATAAACCATAGGAGTACTTACTACCAATCTATACAGTTTACATGCACTAAAAATAAGGTAGCTACGTTAAGAAATGTGAAAATATCATGCCTACTATTTTGCACAATGAAACATTTTTTTATTTTATTTAAAATACTCAACCACAGTGCCTGCTGTTTTACTCTAAGGGATAAGTCAGACTGTGCCAATTATAATCCTCCACAAGATGGCACACTAATTTTATAATTAAATCTGTCTTTTCATTTTGAAACTGTATAGAACATATAAACTAAGCGCTGACATAGCCTAGGTCTAAAGCTTAAGACAATTTATGTGTTAAAAAAGCAGTATGAAAAGAGTTAACAGACTGGTGATGGAAGTGAGCTTAATTCTTATTTTAAGTAGACACCAAGAGAAAAACAAGTAAAATGGAAAAAACAAACACAAAAAGCTCTAAGACAACAAATTAGTCTTCCAAATAAAAGAAATCCTGTGAAGACATTTTTAAATTAAGAGTTTAAGATGTCCCTCTAAAAGTTCAAGTTACTAAGCCTGTAAAGATAGTTTATATACTTTTTACCAATCCTCCCTTTTTAAAAACAGTACTGAGGACCGAACTCAGGGCCTTTGCACAGAGCTACATCCCAGATATTTTTTGTTTTTTTTTTTTCTTTTTTGGACAGGCTCTCCCTAAGTCACTAAGTTCAATTCTGGCTGGGATCAAACTTGTGATTCTCCTGCCTCAGTTTCTCAGAGTTCCTTGAACTATCAAGATTTGAAACATCTGCTTTTTTCTTTTTTAAAAAACAAGTATTTTTTAAACTGGTTTTACAGATTAATGGTTTTTGGGCCGGGGATTTTTAGCTCAGTGGTTCCACTGCCTGCCTCGCAAGTGCAAGGTCCCAAGTTCAATCCCCGGTAGAAAAATCAAAACAAAAATGGATTAATGGTTTTTATTTCTTGTAGATCTGTATGTACACATATATAACATTACTTTGATCATTTTCATGCACCTACCCCCCCATCATTCTGTTCCTAGTTTCACATTTTGCAGAGGTGGGGATGGGATTCAATGATTGATATATTTTACTCATATTCACCCTCCTATGCCTTTCTTAAATATCTAAAGACTGATCTTTCGAGTGAATTCAACATGTAGTTACTTTTCTCACTAAAAAGTTTCATTTTATGCATATACTATATCAACTTGTATTCTAAAGTTTGAATTATTTTCTGATAATTGTATGAAACAAAAAGATTCAAGTTATACATATCTTCAGAAATATATGAATGTTTACATTAACAACCAAAACTAATTTTACTCACCTCCTTCAAAAGTTTCTTCAGGTAAAATCAAGAAAAACCCCATGTAGCATCAGATAATACAAAATGAAAGCATTCTCATATCACTTCCATAAAAATAGTTCAAGGTTCAAATATTTATACACATGCTCTTCTAAGTAACAAGCAACTCCCCATCAACTTCTTTGGTAGATACCTAATATTGGGACTCTGCCTCAGACTCAGTATCTATTCTGACTAGGATCAGATTCTCAAAATTTACAAGAGTTATAAAACAAGAATAGCCTCATCCAATTTCTTTTTTTTTTCTTTTTTTTTTTCTACAGGGAGTCTAACTCAGGGCCTCACATTTGCTAGGCAGGCACAGCACTGCTGAGTTACATTCCTGGCCTGCCATTTACATTTCTAACTGAATAGACTTCCATGCTGAAATAAAATAGACATTTCTCTTCTCTCTTTCTAATCAACATATCTTACTCAGAGCTGAAACTCAACTCAGCTAAAAAAACGTTAGTATTAAGTACACAAATTATAGTCAATAAAATTCACAAAAAAATCCAGAAGGAAAAATACTACATTCTTTCTCTACATGTTATGAATTAAA